CATTCGTCAAACTTGGGATTGGTCTCAGCAGGAGCTTGGTCCGTCCCGTAACATGACCCAGTCTGGATCTCCCTCCAAGAGCAATTGTGACTGCCCGAGACCATGGCAGACAATTCACTCCATTCAACAGCAGCTTTGTAAGCCGTTGGTTGTTTGTGTCTTGCACAACACCCTTTTCAGAGCTAGATTCAGCCATGGAGCGGCAGAAACTTACAGCACGAACGACCAAAATAGCAACAAGAACGTGGATCGGGAATAAGAAATAGGAACAGGTCCATTCATTCCCGCTCTGATACCATGTTGAAAAACAAAGAACAAATGAAGGCAAGAATTTAACGAGGTTCGGCAATGTGCCTACGTCCTCCGATAAAACTCTCACACTCTTCTTTTTCTTTTGTGTCGTGAGAGATGATCTGCCATTATTCTCTATATATACAGAACAAGGTTGCTACAACCAAGGAAAAAAGCAACCATAAAAGGAAAAAAAATCCCTGAAATCAAGCTACAGAAAAAGGAAATACAATATTCACATCTCCTTTCCAAGAATAGGAGCACGAATTCCGCCAACAATCTCTTTTGCCAGTTCCCTCTGCGTGGTGTTGAATTCAATCACATGCATGTACAGGGAGAATTCTTCCCTCTCTCAGATAGTGTATACACCATATATGCAGGGGTAGGAGTATGGTGCTGTTTGGTTGGTAACACATTGAGATTAGAGTGGGATGCTCTTTGTAGATTGAAACATGGTAGAAATTTATCGTATAACTTAAGGTTCGGAAACTGATAAATATTCACTTTATGGCTCGCCAAAGAAAGAAAGAGAAGATATTCCATGTTCCCGTATAGGAAGATACGGACCGGTCCTGTGCCCCTAATCTAAGGGATAAAGAATGGAACATTCAATGAACACCAAACCTCTGGTAAAATGCCTTCCCATAACGTAAAATTACCGCACAAATCGAACTATGGTTATTGGACATATGCTCGGGATAATACAATTTCGAAAGACATTGCTATAATCATAACGCATCGACATAACATGAGTCCCAAAAAGCAAAGTATAGAGTTTCTTACGGAAATGTGAGACCATTTGTAACTCAGATGTTGCCTCCTTTTATCGACTGGACATAATTGCTTCAATTTCTTCGGCCAGTGCCTCCAGTTTTCTCTCCTTTTCCTTCAAATCTGATATCATCGTATTTACTTCCTTCAAACGTTGACAATCTTCAAATAGTTTTGTAAGGGCAGGGCCCACAGGGTCTTTCTTATTTCTCCAATTTCACCTGAAAATTTTGGTTAGATTGTGTTGAAACTAGCTAGAATTTTCTTTATATATGCTAAAACTAGCATCACCTTGACTGGAAACTATTTGAATAAAAAAATGCGAATTTTATAAGTTCATCGTGAAGACCAAAGCAGATACAAAAGGAGGCGTCTGTTTATTGCTACAGTAGTTATCAACTTCGTGCGATAAGCTTATTGCTTTCAACTGGTCTCATTATGTAACATATTAGCGGCACAACATATTCAATGGCCAGCCATCCCGGTAGTGCTCCCACAACATTCCAGGCCGTCACATATTCAATGGCCAGCCATCCTGGCAGTGCTCATACTAGGATGGATGACCTTCTCGGAAAATGCATAGTGCGCTCATGAAAAACTGCATTCCAGCGATCTAATATGATAGCTTTGCTATTGCGCCAAATAATAGCAGGTGACTTTTGAGGAACCCCCTTGTTGTTCAAAAGCCAACGCAGCCAAACAAGTTCAGCATAGTATGAGCCAACATGCAAGTTACTCAGATACAACGCTAGACCGTGAGTTAATAATTTGCTTCTCACTCTGAAAAAAGATTAGATAACCGCCACAAAAGACACAAAAACCTGGGATAGAAATGTTGGGAAAAATGTTCACGTAAATCAGAACGGGAAGAAAATGGAATCAAATTTTGAGGCGTAATAACACTCTCTTTAGGAATTGTTTGCCCCACAACGTTACTAATAGTTACCGCCAAAAATCCTTCAGGATATAACAAAGTCTCGAATAAGAATACCAGATAGGAATTCTAATATTTCTCCAAGGTCTCTCAAGGGAAGCAATTGGAAAAGATGGCTGTATTGTTTTGAGAAAGTAGTATCAAAAGTAAGTGAAAATAGACTGAAAAATATGAATATATATTGCAGTCTTTTTGAACCGAATGTAACCTTTTGGGAGAAGCTGCATTGTCAAAAGATGCCATCACAAAAGACATAATGAAATTCGGATTAAAATACTAACAAAATAAAAAAAATTATTTATTATTATTCCGAATTTTATAAATTTTGAAAAAAAAAAGATCTTTGAACAAATACAACCTTTCAAAGATAAAGGGGTTATGTCCGAAAAGAATAGTCACACTGTTTCAATAGAATAAAATCGTTATTTTATAATAATAAAATCGAAATTTAATAAATAAAAATAATAATAAACGAGGATTAGTGCTAATTATCGCGCCAAAAATGCACACCCGCATGCGGGTATTGTACAATCTAGCCACAGCCCATCGCCTTCAATTGAACAAATTAGAAGACATACACACTAATATAATGATCCACGCAATCAAAACTTTTCTATGTGAGATAAGGAAAAGCACTGTTTTGTTTGTTTTACAAACAAATAACCAACAAGAAAATGCGGCCATTAACATTCCTGGCATGGTCCGAAGCTTCCCCGGATAGTTATGATCACTTCGTCAGATACTTTAATCCCTCGAGCCATTGCTACAAGCACAGCATGTGCAACACTGCCTCGTCAGTGTTGGATTGTACTTGGCGTGTAAGTTATGCAACATCCATCATTTATGTAGTATAAATGCGTCCAAAACCATTGCGGGACAAGATGCGAGGATAATGATTTTAGAGGATGGTTGAGTTACTGCAATGTGCAGATATCGGAAAAAATGTCAAAAAAGTCATAAAACTTTTGCAATGGTGCCAATTTAATCCTAAATCTTTTTTTTGTTCTAATTCAGTCCTAAACCTTTTGAATTAGTGCCAATTTAGTCCTAAACCTTTTTGTCTTTGTGCCAATTCAGTCCTTCCGGCCAATTTTGGCCGGATTTTGCTGACGTGGACGCCGGCCGGCCGGCAGTCGGTCACCGGCCGGCCGGCAGTCGGTCACCGGCGCTGACGTGGATAACTTTAATAATATTTTTAATATTTTTTTGAATTTGTTATTTTTTATTCTTTTCTTTTCTTTTTTTCCCTCCCCTCCCTCCTTCCTCCAGCCGGTCGTCGGACCGGTGACCGGTTAGAGGCCAGAGGCTGGCGAGGTCGACCTTGCTGGCCACTGGCGAGGGCTTGAGCCTCGCCAGCGGCTGCACGAGGCCCGACCTCGCCGGATCTAGCGAGGTCGTGCCTCGCCGGCGGCTGGGCAAAGCACGACCTCACCAGCCTCTGGCCGGTCGCCGGACCGGTGATCGACTGGAGGAAAGAGGGAGGGGAGGGAAAAAAAGAAAAGAAAAGAAAAGAATTAAAAAAACAAATAAACAATTCAAAAAAATATTAAAATATTATTAAAGTTGTTTACGTCAATGCCGGCGACCGGCCAGCCGGCGTCCACATCAGCAAAATATGGCCAAAATTGGCCGGAAGGACTGAATTAGCATAAAGACAAAAGGTTTAGGACTGAATTGGCACAAATGCAAAATGTTTAAGACTGAATTAGTACAAAAAAAAGTTTAAAACTAAATTGGCACCAACGCAAAATGTTTAGAACTAAATTGGCACAAAAAAAATGTTTAGGACTAAATTGGTACCAATACCAAAGGTTTAGGACTTTTTGGACATTTTTCCCTGCAGATATCAAAGCTCCTACGAGAGATACGAGTTCACAGGCGTTCACACTTGTGTTTTTGCATGTTTGGTGAGCCGTGGCACGTCTTCCATGTACTTGCAATACCGTATCATCTACCAACTTTCTCTATGCAAGGCAATACATATGATATGACATGCTAGAGTGAACCAAATTTCTTACAAATTAATAGCAATTTACCCTATCTTACATATTAATTCAAGGCTTTCTCCTTTTGCATGCCGGCTATCTTTAGTAATATGACAGCAAAATAAATAGTTCTTAATTGCATATAAAGCAATATACATATAGTGTAATCTAATATTTTATATTTTCCTCTATCTTTTATTGGAAGAAAGTATAGCTCTTAACTTTGATCTCCTCTGATAACGAAAGTGAAATGAAGAGAACTATAGTACTAGACGCCGTCACTTTCTAGTGAGTGTTAATCAAAAACGAAAATAGTAACCGCGAAGTTCATCCAAAAACCGCCGACAACGATGACACAGAAAACAAGAAAGTTCAGATACCGGAAACAACGAAAGGATGGTAACAACAGAACTGTACAGTGATCACCAAAGTACGCTCACAATTTATGCTATCTCATCTAGATTCACAGTCAAAAGTTAAATCTAGAAATTTAAAACCTTGACATTTAATTGCTGGTACGATGATCATCTAACCATTTTCTAGGCAAAAGGACACTTTAAGTGCCATAACTTGTGTACGGAGATCACTTTGGTGCCATACCTTTTTTTCGGATCACTTTGGTGCCAAGTCAGAGGAAAAACGATCACTTAAGTGTCATAAGTTTTTTTTGGATCACTTCAGTGCTAAAATTTTTGAAAAAAGATCACTTAAGTGCTAAATTTTTTTAAAAACGATCATTTAAGTGCTAAAAATTTTGAAAAACGATCACTTAAGTGCCAATCTCCGGCGAGCCACGTCAGCTTCAGAAATTAATAAAAAAAATGCCACGTCGGATTTCCAGTGAAAAATTGTGTACGGCACCGGAGTTGACACTTAAGTGATCGTTTTTCAAAAATTTTAGCACTTAAGTGATCGTTTTTCAAAAATTTTAGCACTAAAGTGATCCAAAAAAAACTTATGGCACCAAAGTGAGCGCCGTACACAAGTTATGGCACTTGTAGTGTTCTTTTGCCCCATTTCTATGGATAGGAGATTGACAACATCGTACTTTGCTTCGCATCTCGACAATACTTCGACCAAGTTAGAAAATGCAAGACCAGGGCACCCATTTAGGTGTTGACTTGTGGTCGGAGCGAGGAGTTTCATGTGAACTCAATAGCATTGCCCTTGTTGACCAATATCTTTCAAACCGCTGCCTTGAATATTCCATATAGTCAAAGTCGATTTCATTCACGTGCTCCTGAAAGCCAAATAGAAAAGGGGGAAAGATCAATGATAAGATTGAAGCTTTCAATTACCTTCAAGCTGTTCTCCGTTCTAAAATGAGAATGGTACAAAAATAAACCATCTCTTTGACATTGTACTAATCGAACAACGGCAGTGTGAGATGCTACGCAACTTCAAGCACCAGCATATATTGTATAGATTTCACATGGCAATACAAATTTCTACCTGGAACGGTCGTGCAAAAGAGAGAGCTACTTCATAGTACACTATAGAGTAAAATGGTGACTTTGAGATAGCAAGAAACAAAGCATATGGGTATATGTACATACTGATATTATTCCCCATAGTCCCCAGAATAGATGACTCGCCAAAGTATACTTCTCAACATCTTGGAGCAGCTGCTCTACCTCAACATCAGTAGGTGCATCACCTGCTTAGAGGTTTGACATTCCAGATTGCACCATAAAAGACTATAAAGATAAGGACAACAAGAATAGATAGAATGCCTGACTAGCTAGTTCATAGTTCTTCAAATGTGGCTCAAAACGCTTCTAGAGGTTTTGAAGAAAATGGCTGTTGGATTTGCTCTGCACAAATCCATTCAAGCATGCACAGAAATTAGAAAATTTGACTGGGAATGAGGTTCAAATGCCTATCTTGCAGTTCTGAATTTCACTGTCAAAGGTCTTAAAGATTATTTTAATGAGGAGTGCAAATCACATGCAGAACCATATTTTGTCAATGTGTTGGACACTAAACTTCTTTGAATTTTTGGTCGCTAGAGACAGTTTCTTGGTTGCCAGAAACTACCCAAAAGTTTTCTGGTCTTTCCGGTGAGCAAATATTTTGGTCGCTAAAAGCTGTCTCTGGCAACCAATTCAAAATTTGGTTCTGGCGACCAGTTTTAAGCGACTGATTTCTCGCAAGAGAGCTGTGTTTTGTGGTGATTTGCCTATGCACGTCATAGTAAGTTGGCCCGTGAAAATGGACTGACCAAAAGTAAATTGGAGCAACAAAGCAAAACCCATGCCATTTGTATCTTATAATTCTTCACACATAAAAGAAAACGAAAAACATTAAAAGAATTCTACCTGAAGTACTCAAATAAGTCTGCACAAATCTTCTACGCTCCTCTAAACCTGTTGAAATCACAATTTTAAAGCAAAGCATTTCTATTTGCTACTCAGAGGTAGATGAAAGCTAGGAGGAAGTGGAAACAAACAAAACAACATGGTAAAATAATTGCGCACTTGGATATTTTCCATAGTCCAAAACATGTGGAGTCTCGGTATGATAGTCGGCAGCCATCTCGCAGAAATGATTTGCAATATCAAAAGCAATTGGATTGTAACTGGAATATTCATAGTCCTGATGAGGTAGAAGAGAGAGAATTTGAGAAACAATAGCACTAATTGACATCTTCATCTGTCAAGCTACCCTTATTAATACATGAAGAAAGCATTAACAAGGAAATTTAACAATTACATAGACAAGGGCAATCTTCTAAGGAAAGGAAAAGCACATGAAGAGTGGAATTGACAATAATCTTTCTCTACACAATTTGCACTAGTTTTCTTTAATAAGTCTGGGCAATAAACCCAGTATGTGAACAGCAGCCACAAGGATCCTGTATATCAGTTGAATCAAGTCTATAAACTTATAGGAGATGAATATGTAACTAATACGACTATTCTTAAGCTTCATGAATCAAATTCATGGCGACATTATCACTGGCAGTGCAACAAAATGAAGAAGATGAATTATCCAAATAGTGTCCCAAAATGGTGAAATCAGAGATCATCACAAGAAAATTTCGATATATGAACATCTGCTGAAAGAAGTATCTGCAAGAAGGGGCAGACACAACACTCTGCCATCCAAAGAAAGAGTAAGTGAGATGTTGTCTGCAAAGTTTACATCGGAACCTTGCAAAGAAATTCAACTTTGGATAGGAACTTTGCAGAGGACATTGCACTTGTGATTGGACGGAGCCACTTTCTGTTTTTCTCCCTTCCAACTACAAAATTTTCATTTACAGCATATCTCACATTATTTAACTTCCATCTCGACCAGTAAATCTTATCATTCTGTCTCCTTGTGGCTTTCTGGTTTCTGCACCATGAAAGGAGTTTTCTACAAGAACTGTAATACAAACTTTCTGAGATACCCCCCTACCAAAAAAAAACTTTCTGAGATACCCTATCTCTACTGCTCTGAAGTAACAAAATCCTCAATGGGTATTTTTAGGTATGATGAGTTGGAACAATATGTAGAGCACTCCCTAGGGGCATGAAATGGGCTTATTCAATGCTGACCATCTCATTAAATCGAACTTAAAAGTTTGCACTCACAAACCGCACGTACTAGCCAAAAAAAGGAGCAAAACAACATAATTCACTTGTGAAGGATCTTACGATGATGGTTATCGCTTTAGTGTCTTCATGTATCATTATGTTACCATACTGTAGATCATTGTGGCAAAATCCAATACGTTGATCCCCTGCAAGTTCGCTTTGCAAGACAAGAATTTCGTTTTTTATGGCATTCAAGTGGACAACCTGGGCTTCTTGTGGAGTAGCCATACGCTTGGCCATTCCAAGCCACTTTCTGGAAAATTTGCAAAGAAATAAACAATCTTACACATCTTTGTATAGAAGTACTGCTTGTGCTATATTCAAGAAAAATGTGACATCAGCAATACATGTAACACTATTATATTTCCTCGTACACCCGAGAAAGTAGGAATAATGACTAGGAAGAAACAAAATCCATACCTTAGTCTATCCCAGAGAACAACATCCTTTGAACCCGGCATATCGAGGTCATGAAACTCTCTCATTTTAGTTGCTATACTAGCAGAAATGTCAGGGTTCCTAAGATCAGAAGCCGAAAATGTCTGCATCATCCCACACAGTCAGATGAGCTTAGCTAGCCGTCAATTTCAGGTGACAGATAAAATAATAAAAGAAATGATTCTGTACTCATCCTCTTGTCATTCTACTTTTCGAAAAGCAGGCAAAAAATTTGGCAAACAATTGCAGGCTTAAAACTCGTAAATTGGTTTTGCAGGAATCGCCCAATTATTGCTGCAAAATGCTTACATTGTTTAAACAACCGAAGACTACAGTGTTAATCTTCCTTTTCTTCCCTTTCTTTTTAATGCGAAGAAAGACCGATAACGCAGTCACATCAACCTCATTTCGAATCTCTTTGTGTATTGTGATTTGTTCATCATTTAGTGAGAACTTTAAATTTAAGTGTACACCAAGATAAGGAGAAGTACCCGTGCATGAATGAACTCTTCCACTCTCCCGTTAGAGAATCTCCCTAAAAGACGAGGCCCTTGCCCATTCTTGGAGATGAACTCGAACGTCCGAATCTCGTTGTCCCTGTCAAAGAACACCTCCACACCCTCCCCGTAAATCCGGACCAAAACCTTCCTCGAGATGTGATCTTTCGTGGTCGGCCAATTTATTTGGAAGACTTCATTCGTCATCGTGCCCCTGAGTGGGATCACCTGTAATGCGGTTGAATCAACCACGTCTTCCCACTCGGACGCCAATGAATGCAAGATCTTCTTCGTTTCCATAGCTAAACAGTCTTTGCCCCCCATCGGATGCTCAACGGCAACCATCGTAGATCTGGTAATTTTTATCAAAATAACCACTTGAGTTAATGGTGCTCCATAAAATCTGGTAGCTTCAGATGAGAAAAAGCTTTGAGGACCAAAAATGGAATTCTGACATGAATATAACGACCTCCCTTTCTATGTTAAGAACGTCTCCCCTTCAATCATGTTAAACTGTCCTTGTGAGTTGACTAAACAAAGTATTTGCTACATCCGCAACAACAAGAATAACATATAGATCCCGACTTCTTCTCGTCACGAATTCAACGCCCGGATGAATGATAATCAACAAAGGAAGAAGCTACGATGTCGTTACCATAACCACTTTCAGTAGAGGAAAAGAACAGACCAAGGCCACGAAAACGATGGATGAGAAATCAACATGGAATTGAAGCCTCGTCAGCTCATGAACCGGATATGGACGTGTCGACAAACTCGACAAGTTGCGCAACATTCCACAACACGAAATCCAGACAACAAAACCAATCATGTACTTACCCATGGCTATTCATATACAAGTAAATTCTAATTAAGTCGCGTTCCCTGCGCACAACTCACAGGCCTTTTCCCCACATCAAAAGCCACTTGCAACGTCACATTCGAAGACGAGCGCCACCGGGATTCCGAGCATCGGCATGAATTGAAGTTTCAAATTCATTGACGCGTAATTTCTCTCCTCAGGGCAAAACACCATTAAAGCACAAACAAGAAAAGAGGAAAAGGAGAATGCAGATCACGGGGAATCTTGGCCAATCGTCGATAACCTCTGTAACTCGGATCAATCACGATGAGTCATAGAAAGTAGCTCTATCCGAGCGCGTGTACAGATACAGAGAACTGCGGGAGAACCGACTCACCGGAGAGGATCAGCTCCGGCGATCAATCGACGGAGAGGGGTCGCGGGGTAACGAAAGCCTCGAGAGCTCGGGGGGAGGAAGAAGATCGAGAGCTCTCGTTGCCAAGGAGATCGGAACGAGAAAATCTGTTTCTCTTTCTGTTTTGGCAACGGACAGCGCGGGACAAATGGAGAAGAAGTTGGCCGCCATTCGAATTTTATAAGGTTCCTCGCGAGCCTTGCACGGCCGTGGGATCGTGTAACGAGATTAACGGTCGGACCTCGGAACTTGGAAGGGAGGAAAGGTCTTAAAGCTTGGCCATTACAATTTCCAACATTTTTATTTTATGCTGGCCAAAAAAGTATTTCGACCGGGATGGGACCCACCTCACCCGCCGATGAAATAGACAATTCAGACCCGTCAAATGGGTCGGGTCGGGTAGGTCTAAAATGGTCCGATCCCAACAGACTCATTTACCATCTCTCAATTCCGTGTTCACTTACTCACTTTATACTCTCACCTAAATTTAAGTATAAGTTTTTTTCTAAATTGGTGAAATATGTAAGCATTTTAGCAATATGGATCGAGTCGGGTAAATATTGGGTGTGCTTTATTAGATTTGCATTGCATAAAAACGAGTTAAAATAGGACCACAATTTAATGCATAAACGATTTATAGACATTGAGACGGGCTACGCCTACAAACCGAAATCGTAAGAATCGAGACCATTAAGTCAATCTCGTGCTGGAGAGAAGCTAGTGCTGGATTTCGTTACAATATATTGTGACTTAACACAGAACCCAGTCGTCGAATCTTGTACTATACATATAAAACTTCCGTAGAGGAACATCAATTGACGTGCAATTGGAATATTTCTGCTTTTTTTGGGGTAAAAGATTACTTTCAACTTCATCTCCATGTTTTTATTAACTCACATGCCCCTGAAAGGTTTTATTGATTCACTGGATTTATGAAAGATCGTAATGTTTTCGATCATGGATTTTCTCCTAAAAGAAGAGACGCTTTACATTTTCTTCGAATCTGGAATAGTGTTAGATATTCAAGAAATCGCCCTATTGTTATCTTGACTACTTTTAAATTAGCATTGTGTCCCTTAATTAATGATTCGCATTATGATTCATTAATTTTGGGGCCCTAATGAAATCTACCGGTAAAAAGATTTGAGCATTAGGATTACGATATTGAGGTAGGTGACCCAACTTTACATATTTGTTTGAAGTGGCTCATACTTTGTATTATCTTTACTCTTATTTTTTGAAATTTTGCGGTGAAAAATGAGCTTCGACTGACTTGTAAATTCATATATAAACTCTTTTCATAATTTTTTAAAATTTGATCAATACTTTCAATTTTGACTGGATAAAAAAATGGTTAATATCACGGAAAACTCCAAATTGGTACACATGTGACAAATTTACCTAAAACTAATTTTTTGACCACAAAAAATCCCAAACTGGTACACTTGCGATAATTTTACCCTCTATTAGTTTTCGTTAAATTTTTTCGTCAAATTTCTGAGTTGGATGACATGTGGCAGTTGACAAGTGTACAACTTTGGGGTTTTACTCTCCATTTGTTGTAGGCATATAAATTTGTAGTTTTTCGTGATATTAATTCAATCTAACGGAAAGGAAATTTGTCATAAATATACCAGTTTATGATTTTTTGTGATCAAAAAATTAGTTTGGAGTAAAATTATCACAGATGTAACAGTTTAGGATTTTTGGTGATCAAAATATTAATTTTAGGTAAATTTATTATAAGTATACCAGTTTGAGATTTTCTGTATTATTAACCCTAAAAAAATAAAGTGGCGAGTCATTTCAAACTTTTCTCTAAGCCAAACAAACCTATAGAATGATCCGCATCAGACACGAGTGGCAGTGGTGTAATTTCATGCAATCCGAAGGGCATTTACTTATTGTGCATAGTCCGAATCGGAATCTATTCGGCTTGAGTTTTTCGGAATGAACATCTTTTCCTACTTCTTAACCATCCCATTCCCTGAACTTTCGTGGTGGTTTTTCGCAAAAAACTCTCCCGAGAGCTTCCTTCTCCTCTTTGGGGGTCTTCCTCTCCCTCCGTGGGATTCATCCTCTCCCTCAATGGGAGTCGTCCTCTCCACTTGGTCAGAGTTTTCCCTTTCTTAATCGCATCATCTTCACTTAGTCCCTTCTTATTCCGCTTCTCGCCCCAGGTCGCCAACTTCCCCCCCGACCGAGACGAGGATGATCTGCTCCGTCTGGGCTAAAATTTCATCTGCTGGTTGTGTGATAGTGAAGTAGTAGAACCATTCAGCAGCAACTTGGTGGTGCTCGGTGATGTCGGTACTAGAGTGGCTCCCCGTCTTCTTCAAATTACTGAGGTATCAGTAAGTGCACACCAAGTGTTTGCTTTTTTGCCTGATAGAAAATCGTCAGAGGAGTGTGGTGTTTTCTTTGGCGGCGGTTGGTGACTGAGGAAAAGGAGGGGTGATGTACTCTCCTCTCTCGGAAGTACTTCCCTCCACCCATTGGGGCAGCCTAGCCAGTGGAAACCCAAAATGTCCCTCTTCTTCCTTCCCCAATATAGCTCGATCACCATGAACCATGAACTGCTCCTCAGTAACCTAAAGCCTTGTCAACTCAACACCCACCCATAACCCTTCAACTTGTCTCACTAAAATCACTCTCTGGAGCGGAACTCAACTGTGAAGACAAGTAAGTTTTGTGTTCCTTCAGCTCGAGGAACTACAGTTGCTGCGATTAAGCTCCATCTCCATGGAGCCAGATGAAGATGCAAATCACAGGTTGGTCCTGCTCTGCAAAAGATTAGGAAGAATGTGGTCAGACAACGTCACTAAGAATGTCGGAGGGATTCTGGCATCAGCGAAAGGCAAGGATGGGAATTTAACTTTGATAGGGCAACTCCTTAAAAATCCAAAAATCAACTTCCAAGCTTTCCAAAACACAATGCGGAGAGCATGGCGAGTGGAAAATGCAGACTTTACTCCTTTAGAACAAGGTATTTTTGCAATAACCTTCGACCCAAGCTATGAGGAAAAAAGTGATGGACCGAGGTCCATGGTCTTTTATGAACAATCTCTTGATCTTGAAACAATGGGAACCAAATACTACAGCTTTAAGCTACAACTTTGACTCGTGTGACTTCTGGGTACATATTCTGGGGCTTCCTTTTGAGTGGATTTCAGAGGAAGTTGTTCGAGAAGTAGCTGGCAACATCGGACAAGTGCGAGAAGTTAAAATTGAGACAAGAGGAATGGTGTCGTATGGAAGGGTGCGAGTGACATTGGATATTAACTTACCCCTGCAGTCAGGAATGCTTGCTGACAATGAAGGGAAGAAAATCTGGCTGGATTTTAAATATGAGAGGCTCCCGTATTTTTGCTTCTCATGTGGGAAAATAGGCCACTATGCTTCTGACTGTGAAGAGGTGCCTTTTAGCGTCGATGATGTGAACACTGATGAGGATAGACTATTCGGCCCTTGGCTGAAGGCCGAGGTAAGCAGCAACAGCCCCTTCAGGAAGTTATTTCATGGGAAAGACTTAGTTGAACCTATGGTAGAGGAAAGCATCCCGGAGACACCTACCCACTCTGGACAAATAGTGATCTACGATGAGAGCAGCTCCAGCCAAATCCAGAAAATCCAGCATGTTAAGCAGGATAGCACAAAGACTAATCTTACTGCAATGAGTATTCCAGCAGGTCAAAGTGAACATTTGGTTAAATTCCCTGTTACATTGGCTGGAAATCAGGCACCTCCCAAGAAACCAGATCTTAGTCTGGTACCAGCTAGTGCCAATAAAAAGAAACAAAGTGGACAGAAAACTCCCGTTCGCAAGAGGATTAGAAGGTTCAGCCCATACAACGCTCAAGGGGGCAAACCGTTACTCATAGATGAAGATCAACTACTTGAAACGCCAATCCAGGTGGTGGAAGGCTCGGGACAATGGGCTGTGGTTGCTAGCCCTAATAAGCCATCGGGATCCATATGAAGATTTTGAGTTGGAACTGTCAGGGGTTGGGCACACCTCTGACAGTCCAAGCTTTAAGAGGCCTAGTGGCTCAAGAAAGGCCCGAGGTACTATTTCTCATGGAAACAAAAAACAGAAAAGAAAAGATACACTGGGTAAAGAGGATGTTGAAATATGACGAGTGCTTTGTGGTTAACCCAACGGGAATAAGAGGCGGCCTAGCGATTTTGTGGAATGTCCCTGCTGATTTATCAATCTTATCAGCTTCAGAGGGATTAATAGACATCGAATGTGAAGAGGACAACTATAAAATGAGAATGCGAGTCACATTTGTCCATGCACCAACAACCTACAAGGAAAAAGACAAGATGTGGGGAAAAATATATAGAATCAGCTAGGTAAACCAGCTGCCTTGGGTGTGCTTGGGGGACTTTAATGAAATTATGTATCATTGGGAAAAGGTAGGCAAAAGAATGGCTGAGCACTATAGACTCCATGCTTTTAGAGAGTTCCTGCATAACTGCGAACTAATGGACCTCGAAAGTAAGGGTTGTGCCTTTACCTAGTCAAACAATCATGAAGTAGAAGAGCTGGTGAAAGAAAGACTGGATAGAGCAGTTAGTACTCTGGATTGGAGACTACAATTCCCTGAGGCAGAAATCTATGCATTACCGGCTATTGGTTCTGACCATAGCTCGATCCTATTGTCTACCTATCAAGCCCGTAAGAGGCAGAAGAAAAATTTCAGTTTCGAAGCTTTTTGGCTAGAAGATGAAGAATGCAAAGAAGTTATACAAACAGCATGGAATTCTTCAACGCATGCGAATGAGGGCCTCTTGATCAGGATGGGAAAAGCTGCAGCTGCCTTACAAAGCTGGAGTAAGAAGAAATTCACAAATGGGCAGGACAGGATTAAGCTCTTAATGGGGCAAATACAGTGCATAATAAACAGTCCAGCTGCTGAGAAGGAAAAAGAACAACTACAAAAGCTGAGGGATGACATTCAAAGGCTATGGAGTCAGGAGGAGATGTATTGGGCAATGCGTTCGAGGATTAATTGGCTCAAGTGGGGGGATCGAAACACTAAGTTCTTTCACGCCTCTACTGTACAGAGGAGACAACGAAACAGAATTTCTATGTTGAAGGACTCAACAGGAAACTGGATCCGAGACCAAGAACAACTAAAGAGGATGACATATGACCACTTTAGGGAACTGTACACTTCAGTTGGAGATCGACAGTTTACTCCACTACTTCAATATTGCTCTTGCCGTGTGAAGGAGGAAACTAATCTCAGGCTGATTGAGGACGTAACACTAGAAGAGGTCAAGCAAGCAACGTTCCAGCTTGGAACCTCAAAGGCCCCAGGTCCGGACGGCTTGAATGGCCAGTTCTTTCAGCATCATTGGGAAGTCATAAAGAAGGAAGTATTTTCAGAGGTCAGAAACTTCTTCCAAACTGGTGTGCTAAACCCCCTTCTGAATCGAACACTTATCTCTTTGGTGCCAAAAGTTAAAAACCCAGAGAAGCTGGACGAGCTTAGACCTATAAGTTTGTGCAATTTCGCATACAAGATCATTTCCAAAGTGCTAGCAAATAGGCTGAAACCATGGCTCCCGGAATTGATAGAAGTTGAACAGAGTGCCTTTATAGGTGGACGACAAATACAAGACAACATTCTTGTAGTCCAGGAAGTTCTGCATCAATTACGGGTTCGCAAGCGTAAACAGAAGTTTCAGGCTGTCCTAAAGTTAGACATGCAAAAGGCGTATGATCGGATAGAATGGGATTTTCTGAAGGCTTGTATGATTACAATGGGGTTCAATGAAAGATGGGTGAATTTGATAATGCAATGTGTTACAACAACCTCTTTGAGTGTCAAGTTGAATGGGGAACCCCAGCCTTTCTTCCAACCTACAAGAGGGATAAGGCAAGGGGACCCTTTATCCCCATACCTTTTTATACTGGTTGCAAATTTCCTGTCAATGCTGATGAAAAGAGCTGTACAAGATGGCACTATCAAAGGAATACAACTCAATAGACATTGCCCTGTACTATCTCACCTACTCTTTGCAGATGATTCAATATTTTTCCTCGATGGTAAGCTACAAGAATGTCAGAACCTAGCTGCAATCATTCACCAGTATTGCTTTGCCTCAGGACAAGCGGTTAAGTTGAACAAGTCAGGGATATATTTCAGCAAGGACTGCCCTAGTGAATTAAGAAGTAATATGGCTAGAGAACTAAGAGTCCCAGAGATTGAAAAGACAGGGAAGTACTTGGGTATTCCTTCTGATTGGGGAGCATCTAAAAAGCAAATGTTTGCTTGGATCCTAGCAAGGATAAATATGAAGCTTGAAGGGTGGAAAGAGAACACAATGTCTAAAGCGGGGAAAGAAATTCTGATCAAAACTGTTGTCCAAGCATTACCTCAATATGCTATGTCAATTTTCAAGATTCCACTTTCAGTATGTCGAGCTATTGAGAAAAAAATCACAGCCTTCTGGTGGAAGAACCAACCAGCAACAAAAGGAGTGCACTGGAGGAAGGCCGAAGTTCTCAAACAGAGAAAAGACAGGGGAGGCCTTGGGTTTAGGGATTTAATATCTTTTAACAAGGCCATGCTGGGTAAACAAGCTTGGCAATTAGCACAAAATCATACAACTCTGTGCAAGCAAGTTTTAAAGGGTATCTACTACCCAACCAAGAGCTTCTGGAAGGCAGAGAAGGGATCCAGACCATCTTGGGGATGGCAGAGCATACTCATGGAGCGCACATCAATTGAAGACTCGGTCATGTGGTCAGTAGGGAATGGGCACAATATTAACATCAGGGAGGATAAGTGGCTCAAAAGGGGAATTATAGGGGGACCGGCTAATGCGGGGGACCCAAAAAAGGTTGATGAATTGATAGACTAAGAGGAAAGCACATGGAAGGAACCGCTTTTGCGACGACTATTCGATGAACAAGTAGTACGAGAGATCCTCACAGTACATATCAGACCACAAATGAATGAAGACAAACTGATCTAGACAGGCACGAAGGAAGGCGACTACACTGTTAAGAGCGGCTACAACACCCTTCGAAAAAAGGTAAACACAGAAACTCAACCTGCCTCCTCCTCTCATCAAACTCCTACTAAACTCTGGAACAGGATATGGAGAATGAAAACTCCCCACAAAATCAGAAACTTTGTATGGAGCGTATGCCAAAACGTACTACCAACGAAGGAAAATTTGTACAGAAGGAAACTGGTACCTGATCTGAATTGCCCATTTTGCCGAGTTCATGCAGAAACCACAGAACATCTATTCCTACTATGCAAGTGGACGAGGGAAGTCTGGGATGTTCCTGCACTCAACATCCAGATATCAAAATACCAAACTTTCCGCTTTGATGAATGGCGATTAAATTCATACCCAAGAAGCAACAACTCCCCCGAATTTGAGTTAGTCTCTGTTGTCCTCTGGGAAATCTGGAAAGCAAGGAATAGCCTCGTCTTTAGAAGGCTCCTCCCGGACCCACGATTCTTGGTTGAAAGAGGACGACAATTGCTAAAAAATTTCAACAGATGGAACAACCTTGACAGACCAATTGAAGCTGTAAACCACTCTGAGGAGGATGTCTGGAGTCCCCTAGAGAGGGGCAAAACAAAGGTAAATATGGATGCAGCTCACCAACCTGGTTCCTTTGAAGGTTCAATAGCTTGTGTACGCCGCAACTCAGCTGGGATCTTGATCGACGGCTTTGCCAAGGACGTCCTCGCCTCCTCCGCCGAACAAACCGAGAGCCTAGCCATGGCGGAAACCCTCAAATTTCTCTCTCCTCGTGCGGGTGAAAACATAATCCTGGAGTCAGACTGCCTAAATCTGGTCAATAGCTTGAAGTCTCCATAAGGTATGTTGTGGGAACATCGTGCTCTCCTCAGGGAAGCACGTGAGCTGTTGTCTTCGTTTTCAAACATAAAATTGCAGTTTTGTAATAGGTCCAGGAATAGTGTCGCGGACTGGGTAGTTACGACACACAGTAAAAAAGCACTCACTGAACACTGGTTGACTCAACCTCCGCAGGCCCTTAGAGATATGCTTTGTTTTGAGACCCCGAAAATGGGTTCTGTCTTTACTAGATATCAATGAACAGTCTTTTCTTCTAACCAAAAAAAAAAAAAAACCATCCCATTCCCCACTAAATGTCAAAGAAAGAAATGTCTGAACTTCAAGAAATCATCAGGGAATTGCCAACAAGAACAACTTTAGTCCTCTTCTTAACTCTTTCGCCTCGAAAAATATAGGTAAAAAAAATGTGGATTAAGCCATCCTAAATTCGTTCTAGAAAAACAAAATTGACACGCACACATTTTTGGGTTTGACAAAGCTGATCTAAAAAATTCGAATCATCTAACTGAATAAAGAACAACATAATGTCCAATTCGAAAGCTTAACTCCTAGATAAAAAGATGCGGAATTCTTTAACACCATTCTCATGTACAAGTCGGATTAAGAAGGGTTGCCCACATGAAATAAATTGCGCAAAACCTGACTTTGATATCATAATGGAATGTCCAATCTTAAACTGATGGGCGGATAGAAATAACATAGAAACATGAGATTTAACATAAAAGAATAACCGAAAAAGCGGAAAGCTCACTCTCAGCAGACAAATTCTTTTGTTTTGTTTTTTTCTTTGTGACCCAGTTATGGTTTCCCAAGTTCTTGTAACACCTACCAAAATGAATCAACTTTGTAACCCAGAAACCAAATTGAGAAGAACAAAAAAGGTATTTTCCTTCCATGAAAATTAATTCTTTTTTTCCTTTCATCACTTCACTTTTATTTCCCCAAATCTCCTCAGGAAATTGAGTTTCTCCACCTCCTAGGAGTCTTCCTGGTTTGATCTGCACTTGGCACCTGAGGCCCACTGTCCTGGCTCTCCAAGTTGTTCATCTTGGTGAGCTTGCTCAGCTTCTTCCATCCGCTGCTCCAAGCCGACCCTTGCTTCGGCTTCGCCATCTTGTCAAACTGCCTCTGCAGATTCTCCATGTCATTTTGCAGCTCGAGGTACTTGGCCTTCATGCTCTCGAGCTCGAACTTGAGGGTGTTTATGTCCTTCTTCGCGGCCGCCCAACCTTCCTGGAATGACTGCGGGGTCCCTTCCAGGAGGGTCTTCCGGTTTGGTATCATCGGCTGGTAGTGCACATCGCCTCCGGTTTCCTTGAGCGAGCTGCTGGCTAGCGCGTTGCTTATCTTCACTTGCTCCGAGAAGAGGACTTGGACAACCACCCTCAAGGGGAGCCGCTCGTTCTGTGCGGCATGCATGCACGCGTCGATCGAGAGCTTCTGACAATCCATCACCCGGCACAGCCGCTTCCTCTCATGCTCGGTGAGCGTTGGATGTGCCTGTCAATTTGTTAATATCAATCTAACAGCGGAGGATGTCAAATTTTGCATCAAAATCAGATCCATGAGGTAAATTTTCCTGTCATTCACAAGATTTCAAATTCATGACATACTTATTGGAAGAAAGGCAAAAGTTACGACTAATATATAGGTTGTGAAACGATATTATGTTCGAATTGATTGGTGAACGATTATTTGCACAAAACTCAAGAAATTAGTTTGGTGTGGAATCAAGAACATAATGGCCCGGCAAGATTTTCGGTTTGGTATGGAATCAAGAATGATTTTGTTTGTCACACCAAGAAACAGATAATCCCATTGTTGAGAAAATAGGATCCCCTGTCAAAATTTATGCAGAGATCCTCAGTGAGCAGATAAAATTTAGGTTTGAGATCCTCAAGAGATTACAAGTAACACAATCCACCCTAATCCAATTGTAAGGCTACTTTGCAATCACAAAGTTTCCGCTATTGCTTTGCTGGTACTATCATCAAATGTTGAGCAGATAAAATTTTAGAGGTGATTAAAGAGACCGAGAGCAAAGAGTCATTTACCTTGAGATACGAGTCGACTGCTCGGTAAAGTCCATCATCACAAGTCCTTGCAGATTCAGGCAATGCCTCGGCCAGCACTTGAAACTTTGTCAATGAGAGGTTTCTGTCTCTGGACACCTCGGTGAGATAACTGTCTACTAGTCTAGCCACTCTCATCTTCGCATTTTGCCCGTTAACTCGTTGAGCACCATCATAGCCATGCTTCTCCGATAACGACTGCCTGCTCGGGCTTGAGCCCTCCGTCTGTTCCTGAACAAGAAAATGCTCCAGAAGCCTCTGAACTAGATCAACGTCGTACGAAGTCTCACTCTTATTGTACGAAGGGATAAGGAGATCGGCCAAGGTCGCCTGTTCGAATTGCATGCCAACCCGTTTCTCTAACTCGGTGACTAATGCAGGAGCCACTTTCAACATGTTTGCCATTCGTAAAAGCCGAAGAAGGAAGCTACACGTGACGCTGTCCTTCTGCGGAGGAATTATACTGATAAGGCTCTCTGTTATCATCCTCCGGTCTTTGGCCTGAACCGTGGAAGGTTCATCCTTAGTACCGGCCACGACCATGTGGAGCCCGCCTTTCCAATTACTGCTTCCACTGCTGCTATTGCTGTTCCCACTGTTGCTTCCTTCATCTCCTGCTCCATCTCTTATCAAACCTGGAAGCCACTTCGCAGCATACTGCATAATTGCCGCGCCGATCAATTCGAACCTCATGCCTTTCACTTTGATAGCAGTGACAACCCTCACAAAGTGATCAATCCTCAGAATTGAGACATCTTCGAACCACCAATCGGGAGGAGCCTGGTGAGCCCTGCTCGGGCTCGACTCCTTCATATCGTTCCATTTTGGGCTCGAGACTTTCGGCGGTTTCCCTGTGTAAGCCCATCTTATCCCTTTCGGGTTCGCACAAGCCTTCCAAGCTATTGACTCGCTGCATCTTCGTACAATTTGCAGATTCTCCGCCCATGGCGAGAGCTTCTCACAGCTTTTAAGCACTAATATTGAATCTCGCCACGAAGATAAGACTACGTAGCTCAGAAAGGCTTCGGTTTTGAATATAAGATTGCCTTCCTCCAAGTCCTCGGTCATCTCCAAGTACTCAGCCGCACACCGCAGGCCGGAAATATTGGCTGCTGTCAGATCGACGGCGACGCCATAGCAGAACTTTGCGGCCAGCTCGAAAGCTTCAGGCCCACCGGGAAGATCATCCAAAACTACCTTGCTTAAATCGGGGTCACGCGATTCATATATGATCCTGTTGAACTTCCCACTCCTAGAGAGCAGGGGATACTTCAACAACACATAAAAGGCTATGTCAAAAATTTGATAATATTTTGCTGTAACTTATCCAAAACCTTCCTCTGAATCTAAAGAAGATGAAGTGGTTTGAAAGAAATGATGGTTCTACCTTGTGTAAGTGGAAATTAACTTCTCCAACATGAACAAGAAGGTCACTTGGAATGTCAGTTGCAACATGCCTGTGTGCATTTGCAAAAATTTGCTGTTAGCCCATCAATTACATCATGAAGCGAGCTCACTTTAACCAAGTTCTCTGTTGTTTTTCCCTGATCCAAAAATATTTCTACTACCACAAAAAGGAGTAAAAAAAAAACCCTTCTTTTTCCATAAAATTCAGAGCACATCACTACCAAATCCATTCGCTTTCAAGCAGAACCTCGCTTTTTCCTCAGACTTAAAAATGAAAAAGAGAAGAAAAGCAAAGAAACGAAAAACAGAGAAGACAGAGTCTGTACTCACCATGACTGATCTCTGAGCTCAAACCCTTCTGTTTTAACCCCTTGTTTGGTGGAGCTGAGCACACCATTTCCATAATCTCTCCCAGCGATGGACTCATTTTCAGAATCCCACATGGTTGAAACCTGGGAAAGAACTTGTCGGAGCTCTCTCTTTCAGCTAAAGCGACTCTTTCAGCAGCAACCAAAAGCAGAGAAAAAGAAAAACGAGAACAAGAGCAAAGAACCAGTGGAACAGAAGATCATGGGAAGAAAAAGGGAGAGTCCCACATGGGGATGCTTGGAACCATCTTGAATTGTCGTCTTCCTCGGAAGATTTCGCAAGGCCACGCTTAACAGACTCTCACAGGCTGTGAAGGAATGGGTGGCGTCTTTGAGTGTACTGTTCTTGTCTTGGATTATCCGGAAACTCTTTTTGCTATTGAAAAAGGCTCAACAGATTCAGTGCCTTTCTCGGTGCTGTCACTTGGGATTTCTTTCAGCTGCTGCAAACTTTCTAATAATTGAGCATTTGTTCTGATCCCAGGACCATGGCAAAAGAGATTTTCTTTGATACAGACACTGTAAACAATATGAAATGAGCAGTGACTTTGCCACTGGGATTCAACTTGTGAAAGGAAAGTACGTTGTTTTGGGAAAATTTTGTCTAGTTCGTGACAATTATTTTTTAAAAAAAAAAAAAAAGGATAAAAGCTTTAATTTCTTCTAGTTATTGGGTCCAAGTCCAAAATCAAATGATTGGCAGTAAATTTTTTTTTTTCTTAAGAGACAACGGTTTATAGAGCATTTCTCGTATGAGACGATGGAGACTTGACTTGGCAATTTAATCGTGCAAAGCGTCACGACTTCCTAGAAACGCCCTTAGTTATTATTAAGTTTAGCTAGGTCCACTAAATGTGCAAAACGATTTGACAAAATAACTGTCGTCTTAGTTATGTAATCAAATTATTTATATAACAATCATCCCACAGTAGCCTTATGTATTACTTACTACCTATCATATGAACCTAATTAAAATGCACTTAGAGACACTATGCTATAAAATGAAGATATAAATTTAAACTTTAAACAACTTCAGATAGGATGGCTGCTTTTGGGAATACTTTGGGGGTTTTTGGGAAAATGCAAAGGACTTTAAGTTAAAAGAAGTTTTCCAAAATGCAAATTGTGTTTGGTAAGTTATAACTTAAAAGTCCATTGCAAAGCAACTTTGAGTAAAATAGCGTTTGGAAAAATTACACTTGCAAAACACTTTTTTTATTTTTTATTAAATAAAAGTTGAAACCCTTCGCTGGAGCCGGCAAAGGGCGGGCGGCCGCCGGCGACCCAGATCTGGCGCCGCGCGGCCGTCGTTTGAGGCCGAACGACCTCAGGCACGACGGCCGTGCGGCATCAGATTTGGGTCGCCGGCGGCCCTCGCCTGGGTTTCGTGACCCTCGTCGAGGGTCGCTCGACCCCATGCGGCCCCTGTCGGCGGTCGCCAGGGGCTGCCTGAGGTCGTTCAACCTCAGACGACGGCCACACGCCGCCAGATCTGGGTCTCTAGCGGCCCTCGAGGGTCATCTAGGTAGCACGACCTCAGGCGGTCGTGCAACCCCGTCGCTCGACCCCAGGCAACCCTCGTCGGCGATCGCCGGGGGCAACCTGAGGTCGTTCGACCTTAGACGACGGCCGCACGGTGCCAAATCTGGGTCGCCGGCGGCCCTCGCCTGGGTTGCGTGGCCCCTCGCGGCGGTCATGTGAGCTCAGGCGACGGTCGCTAGGTTACGTGACCATGTCGGCCCCTCTCCGGTCGGTTGCCGTCCCCTCATAGCCATGCCGGCCGAGGTGTAAGCGAAGAAGATGATGAACAATGACAGACAAGGCCAAAACCAAAAAATCAAAAAATTGATCAAGGTAGTTTCGGAAGAAATTTTTTTTTTACTTACCCGGGGACTTGCATGCCGAGAAAGCTGAAAGCCCAAGGCAGCCTAGGACCTGCCTTGGGCTTTCAGCCTTCACAAGGCTCACTTTTGCTTAATGGGAGTTTCTAAAATTGTTCCCAGTCACTAAATTTTAGCCCACTCAAAGCCCCTTGGCAAAGCCAATTTCAAACGCAGCCGATGTAAGCCTCAAACTAGTATGTATATGGAGTTTTGATTGATCAAACATGTGTTATCAATGGATGTTTAAAATCTTTCCACTGTCACGTTTAGATCCTTCGGATGCCTTCATCGATCTTGAGTACAACAACAGTCGCGACAATTTGGCTATGTCGGTGAACCAAAGGTTGGGGATCGGCCTAACCGGAAGCTCGTGGCTATAGTACGTAGGTGACCACATGCAACAGACAAAAACACAGTACACGGCTGGAGCATGTACTGTTTGCTTGTGTGCAATGGAGAGAGGACTCTGAAGCTGTTATGAATTCAACAGTACAAATTCCACATGCATATCTAATCGAGGTAAGTGTGGTATACGAATGGACCCCCCCTTTATTCCGGTAATTTTACTATGGAATTTAAAGATCAAAGTTCACTTTACTTTGGTTTGCTTTTGTACTACAAATGCTTCATGATTGCATCTGGTAAATTATTTCCCAACAGCCACTCTCAGAGCCAAGAATGATGAAAAGAGAGATGGCCTGACCACCACCATGCATTAGGGTTTCAACGAGCAATTTTTTTCCAGGTAAGTTTTCCTTATGGGACATCTTTTTTCGTTTCTTTATTTTTTTCTATGTTGAATGCAGAAAAAGAATGTACTAAAGGGTAATGTCTCTCCCCCACAAAGATGCACTCCAAAGTCCAAACATCACTTTTCCCCATTTTAAGGATGTTTTTTGATATTTTGAATTTTCACTTCTTTCACTGCTCATTCATTGCCCTCCATGCCTTTGTAAATCTTGTGAAACTTTATCTAGAATTGGGATCCATAAAAATGCCCCTTACGCTCCAAACAAAAACTAACATCATCCAAGACGACCGGATCAGATTTATGTCGCCAAATTGTCAAAAGGACAACTCAAGCGATGACCTCTTTTCATATTTGATGTGTGGTTATGTATTTATTCGTGCCCCTCACACCTCGTGTGACTAGCCCGGCTCACGCAATCAACCCTCCGTCTCTTGAGTTGCCTACAGTTAATTAGCTTCCATTGAATTTACGTAGAGTCACCAACCTTTAATATCATCCATAGCGATTCAATAATCGAATTCGTGTGAACTAAATTACCAAAAGTAATACTCAGAATACGGATTTTGGAGAGTGGTCTCTATTTGTGAATCACTTCACAAGGTATCTTTCATATTACGTGGGATTTCGACTTTCGAGTGTGACACGGCCATCTCCTCAAAATTGACATATGATTATAAACTACTTCTTCATCCAACGGTGTGAGAAAGTAGACATAAAAATCAGTCTGACTTACAAACACATCTAAGTCAAAGGAGGCATAAGGGGTTTGGACCAAAATCTATAGCAATATCAGAAAATGTCGTATTAATCATTGTTTCGCTTCGATAATAGAATGTACTGCAGAATATGCATCTGTTTTAGAATGGGGACAAAGAATGAAAGGTTTTGAGAAACCAAGGAGGCCACTTGGTATTACTAATGAGAGTTATGATCACCAGACAATTGAATGTGAGGAAGGGGGCCTCCTTCCTACCCGATGCCGAACGCTTATGAAGATACAGAAGAACAGCGGCCCACTGATAGATTGCCCTGGATGAGAGAGCTGTTCTTGTCTGTGCCGAACGTTTGCGAGCACAACTAAATCTGAAGCCGCTCGATCCCGTGAGACCCACGTGGGAACCACAGCTTCGAAGGACAGAGATCGAGCGGGCTCATGAACATCCGGCGCAGGTAAGAGTTTTCCGATGGGAAAACGGTCTCTCATCTCCAATTTCAGTGGTAGGTCCACCAGCCTGTCCATTTGGTTTTGATGGAACCTGGAAGATGCCCATTCAACTTTGGAAAACAGGCATTAAAGGCATTGACGTGATGACTACTTCCTTGAGTCATGCTAGGGTCTCTCAAGTGTACGAGGCTTCAGGGTGAATATGGGATCTGTCTTATCCTGGAACATGCTGACTTTGTAGTTTTAGAAAAAAGTGTCAAAAAAGTCTTAAATCTTTTGCTTTGATAGCAGTTGAGTCCCAATTTTTTTTTTTGGCGCCTGTCGCGACTTAACCTCCGGCATGTGCACCACCTAAGGTCGGCTAATGAATTATTAAGTCTAAGCCTAATTCGGGCCCACTCAAGCCCTATCAATTCGCAACTTGGGGTTTAAATTCTTAACATGCAAATGTTTTCATGCTAGAGTCGCCACTAATCTATCTGTGATAGGTCGATTAGAAATCCGAATAAAACATGAGGAGATATGTTTTATTTCTACGAATTAGATATTTTGAGTTCGGGGACTTTATTACACTAGAACTAGTCTAACGCCCTTTCGATACATTTTCTTTTCAAAAAAAAAAAATTTTGAGCAGGCAATATAAATCCTTTTTATTAGGGGTTCGCGATCTATCAATTTAACACCCAATAAAGAAAGCAGTAAATAAATTACTAGCTTATGAGAACAACGTACTTTTTAGCAACGCAAGCATCTGCATTATTAGCTAGAAAATCACACAGACAGTCCTAATATGATTTCTAATTAACAAGCACTTCAATGAATGTATTTTTTGGGTTTTCTCTTTATTTAAATGAAACTAACCTAAGTGCTATGACATGCAAAATATGACATACCATTAATTAAACCTAGCATGCGAACTATATGTCATGCGACGATATGACCTATTTCTAATGATAGGCAAATAATGTATTTTTTTTGTATTTTTCATTAAAATTCGGAATAATAAAAAACGTCTAAAATAACATGCAATCCATTCTAGAAAAAGATAATTTAATCTACCCTAAAGTTACTCTTTTTGGGATATTTTTATGAAAATTCGAAATTCTAAAATACCTTAAATAACCTATTAGAACTAGAATAACCCCTAATTTAAACTAGGAAATAAACTACCTTAAATCCCAATTTAAATTAAACAATTATCCTATCTTCTAGATATAGTAGGGTTCCCTAAACATGCAAAATTTCTAATTTAAATTCTAACTAATATTTTTTGGATTTTCTTCTATTTCAAAGATAAAGCAATCAAACAAAAGAAAGCAAACACATTCGAACAGTCCACACAATCCGCAAGATTTATCTATCATGTTCAAATTAGGAAAACAATTCGAGCTAACGATCATATATATTTATGATTATAGATATCAATAAAAAGCCGACCGTTTGAATTTGGAAAGCAAATAAAATATATTATCATATCCAAGTGGTTATGGATAAGATAATAATCTTCCGTACCGCCGCGTATCGTACCTTAGAGTTAAGGTCAAATAGTCATCCGTGTAAGTTGTTGAATCATGAAAAACTCCTAATTTGGGATATTTTAAATATAACTAATATCGCACATATTATCCCTAAAATATTAACAATCCGCAAGATATTCACGAAATATTTAAATTATACGAAA